GCGCTGAGCAGGGGGAGGGTGGAATTATTGCTAGAATGTGTATATTTTTTTAACGCCATTAATGTATTAGTAGAGCATCATATAAATCGCAGGAAACCCACGATTTCCAGTGGATTGTGAAATCACCAAGTTTGAATTGAAATACGTTCAATTAATATTGACATTAATCATCCAAAGTGATTGAATTTAAATACGTTTAAAAAAATATTGACATTTAATCATCCAAAGAGTTTGACGGAAAATATATGATATAGGTTTAGGAGACTTGTATAGGTTCCTCGCTCAAATATATAAATTTTTGTTCGAGAAAAATTACTTTAAGAAGAAATAGTTAAATAAATAACTACAGTATTTGTGATTTAAGTCAGTCGGTCCACGCGAGGTCTTGCGCGACAGCTTAGGTCGCAAGTTATCAGTATAACTTAGCGAAGTATAGTGAGGGAGCAAGCAACTTCTGCAATCATTTCCCTCGACAAAAGTTAGCAGTCATTTTAAAGTATCTTCACCATTCGTGTGACCTGAAATACAACATTAACTAAAACACAATTTCAACTAAAAAATAATTATTGATGGAGGACAATTATAACTGAAACACAAACATTAAAGATAATCGAATAAACTTGTTTAATGGACTTACTGGAATTTAGTTTTTATCTTTTTACTATAATAAACATCCTTAAATTCTGCGCGTGCATCAAAAGTCACAAATGAAAACATACTCAAAATAAATAGTAATTTTGACTATGCATTATAAAGGACTGCCATTAATACAGCTTGGCCATTGTATTGAGCGATGTGCCTAATTTACTTTTTAATTACGAATTTATTTTCGGAAGTGTATAAATGGAATATAAAAGTCTCTCAATAAAAAAATTGGAAAATTAAATTATCAACATTCATAAACGGAATCCATTCTGATAATATAACATAAAAAATTTATTTTCATAGTATCCTGAAACAAGGATTTTTTCTCGTAAGATTAAATCGACAGATTATAATTAACATAGAAGCTTCTACATTTAATTTTTTTTATAGAAACTTACTTCATGGAAAATATAGCAACAGCCATTCAGCAAAAAATAGGATAATTCTTCGATATTAATTCTACTTATCTATTTATTATAGATAATATACATATGTAATTTTTGCGTCTCAAATATTACAGAAAACTTGTTGCCCATAATAGAGTTAATTTCTGAACAAACCATCATAACTTCGCTCGCACAAAGCCCACCTCTAAATTTGTTAGTCCAAGCGCTATTCACGTAAAAATACCCGATTACCGCGGGTAATTGGCAATAACAAAGCCTTAATTAACCTGTAACTGCCTGCTTCCCAATTTCTTCTCAATGAAAACCGTCGATTCTAATGAGAAAGAAAGCCCTTAAACTGTCGTGGTCTGTTTCACTGGAATTGAATAGACGCGTATGTAATTATTTTAAGCGAGCTGCTTTTGTGCACGGTCAAAAACCTGAAACATTTCGAGATAATCGAGTATTTATTGTAGTTTTTTATCGGTGTGCGTATTGAAAATGTTGGAACGAAAAATTGCTCCTTGGAATTAGCTCATTACAAATCATATATACAATATATTAAGGAAAATTACTTCAAGCGAGAAGGACGGCTTAAACGAGGAAACTCTCAAATCGAAAATTCTAACTTCGAAAGTCGACAACAATCTTCCTTTAAAGTTACTTCCGATACGAAAAAAAAATTGCAAGAAAGTTTTTAATTCAGACCCTTAGATCTTTTCAATAGACGAAATGTGCACGAAAAATTATGCTTGAAATCACAAGAATATTAATAAAAATTTTCAAACAGAATTTCTTTAGAAGCCATTGAGTTGATTCCGAACGCGTTATAATGCTTCCATTTTGTTCGGTCGTACATCAATGTTCGGTTCTGCTGTGCCTGGCTATCTTTCTTATTACTGATAGATATTTGGGAAGAGTTTGAAGTTTACTCTTTCAATATCGCTCTATTTGTTTTTCGTACCAATTTCAGATAATAAACAAATTTCAAATTTAAGTTAACTTTAACACGTCTTATTTGTATAACTTCTAAAGTTTTAATCATCTTTTAGCATGAATCTATTTTCCCGTGACGATTGTATTTGAATCCCAATGGGATCTTTTAAAAAAGTGCAACAGAAATCTACGTAACGACTTTGCCAAAGTTAAGTACTCACGGCCTAAACCCAGCAGAGGCTACTAAGGCGCTCCTAAAGACCTTTATAGCGCCACGATAATCTTTTAATAGCAATTGCTTGCTATTTAATGGAACCTGAAATGTAGGGAGATTATCGACAACTGCTTTTTTTCATACCCCAACTTCACAGGAATGTTCAATGGGTTTTACTTTGAGTATACATCAGTATTGCTTTCATCTTAATGTACGTTCACTCTAAAAAATTCTAGTACCTTCCAAAATCAGAAGCGTATCAAGGTAATAATCAACCAAAAATTAAAAAAAAACATCGATAATACCAACTAGATTCGTATAATATGCACTGAAATCTGCTAGAAAATTCACCTCATTTTAAAGTAAATTAATTTCACAGCTAATCCTCTATTCGCGTTGACAGTGAAGATATGCTGGATTTTATATGCGTTTTCTTCCTTTTTAAATTAATGGTTAATTGCGAATTGAGCTAAGTAATAACTTTTACACAAGATCCAATTTGCCAATTCAATTCAATTTTTTTCCCTACGGATTTGAGAATTTTTTAAAAATTTTTTTTGAAATGATTTAAATAAAAAAAAATCCTCCACCTCTTACGTAATAAAGTCGGTCTCCTTATTGATCCTCAAACTTAGCGACGTGCGATCATTTGATTTCAGGACGAAAATGTAGTTCTTTGACGAGCGCATTTTTGATCCAGAATCGCTTAAAAAATATTCGATATTCACTTCGAAGGATCAACTTGAATATGAGAGAAAGATTTGAGAAATGGCGTGAACTCTTGGCAGCTCAGTAATGGAGTAACGCAGACTATTAGCAAAATACCTGGACATTTTCTCAGTGAAAATGGTGAGGAAAATATCCTTTGAAGAGGAGGCAAGTGGCGATCCTTCTCGCAGCGATCCCATAACGATATCGGTTTCCTATTGTGGGTAGGTTCTTAGAACTCCCTGAAACTGCCCAGACTGCGGACTGAAGATGCTGAAGATGAAACTGGACATAACTTTTAGAGTGGAAACCTGACGGTACGAGTGAGTTTGAAATGAAATGAGAACATTGGGAGGAAAATATTTTTTTTGAAACGGCAGAGAAGTAAGTGAGTTTTTTTTAAGTTAACGAATTATAGTTAGAATAAATGTAGTTGAGTGCTAAATATTTCTTTCTTGAATGAATGGATTTGTTCAACCAAGAGTTCTGGAGTATAAAACTTGCACTAAGAAATGATCATGCTATGAATCTGGAAATGAAGTTGATGTATAAATTCAATGTATTGCTATATTAGGTGTTTAAAATTTTGTGTACATTAGTTTTAAGTATAAGTTTACTCGATGCGTGGGCAATTAAAACCAAGACGCGTGTGAAAGTTAAAACTTGCTTTAGTCCTGTATCTTGGCCGGTACGGGAGAGCGTAAATTTAAGAATTGTGCATCAGCAGTAGGCCGAATTTTTTTTTCTTGACTTAATTTTTGTAATTAATTTGTAGACAAGTAATTTTTTTGACTTGTCTTGAACATGTAGATTGCATATGCTAAATTGGCCATCATGAAATGTAAATGCTATGACATGATTACAGCGAGAGACGTTTATGTACAGTGTCTAAGTAACGGAACTATTACACGACTAGGTTGAAATTTCATTCGTATCGCTAGGTGTCTTTGTTAGTGAAACTTGTTTGAATGCTTTATTAAAAAAAAAAGTTAAACNCTATTACACGACTAGGTTGAAATTTCATTCGTATCGCTAGGTGTCTTTGTTAGTGAAACTTGTTTGAATGCTTTATTAAAAAAAATAGTTAAACTTTACTCAATGTAATTTATAGGGACCGCTTGCGTGTATATATAGCTGTTAAGTGTGTTCTAAATATAGCTGTATTATTGTATGTGTTATTGTGTGTGTTAGGATGTTTAGGTAATCAGAATGTGCTACACCTTTTTGTAAATAATGTACTTAGGCTGCAAAGCGTGATAATTCGTTTTTTTTGCGTGGATATAAGTATCCACTGGTGGGGGGAAATGTTGTGATCGGCATACCGTATAATAATTGTTTGTTTAGTTGAATCTTTATTTATCTCTGTTATTCTGCAATTCTGAAATTTTCTAAGCCCATATTTAATTTTATTTATTCTTAACGTATTTTTCTCAATTATTAGTTAGACTCAAGAACTGAAAAAATGGTTCTTTGGAGAACGACGCGTCCGTAGTTAGGGAGAATTTTCGATACGAGTTAGTTAGTTAGTGGGAGCCGTTGGTGGAAGTCGCATGTACACAGTGTAAAGTCTATGAATTTAACGGCGAAAATTACTGTCTTGTTTTTATCCTCCGCAACAAAGTGTACTACCGAACTAGACGATCACACAAGGCTTTTATGAAGTGGTAGCCACGTATAGACTGCGGCGACGTGTGCGCCACGACAATATACAGGGTGTCCCAGAAAAAAGATATTCAACTTTGAATGGCCGTAACTCGAAAAGTAATAAAGTTAAAAAAATTTGGAAGGTCAGGATTTGTTCCCTATGTTTTTCTCCATCTCTCCACCAAAAATCAGACAGATCGATGTAGTCATAAGCGTTTGATAGAACTTTCAGTGACATGTGCTAAAATCATGCCTGCGCAAAGTTTTAGTAAGATCATTTTGCATAATCATTACGTTGTCTTGACATGTTTTCTTTTCGCTGTTTTATTTTTTGTATCTTCGGTGAGACAAGAACATGGCAATCATGACAATTTTGGTGAGAGACAATCATGACAATCTTTGGTGAGACACAGTCATGGCAATCTGTGGTGAGACACAATCATGACAGTCTTTGGTTAGACACAATCATGGCAATCTTTGATGAGAGACAATCATGTCAACCTTCGGTGAGAGACAATCATGGCAATCTTTGGCGAGAGAGAATTTCAAAACTAAAGATTGCTCTCACCAAACATTGCCATTATGGTTCTTGTCACCAAAGATTGTCATGATTGTCTCTCACCAAAGATTGTCATGATTGCCTCTCACTAAAGATTGCCATGATTGTGTCTCACCAAAGATTGCCATGATTGTGTCTCACCAAAGATTGCCATGATTGTCTCTCACCAAAGATTGTCATGATTGTCTCTCACCAAAGATTGCCATGATTGTGTCTCACCAAAGATTGTCATGATTGTCTCTAATCAAAGATTGTCATGATTGCCTTTCACCAAAGATTGCCATGTTTTTGTCTCAACAAAGATTGTCATGATTGCCTCTCACCAAAGATTGTCATTATTGTTTCTCACCAAAGATTGTCATGATTGTGTCTCAGCAAAGATTGTCATGATTGTCTCTCACCAAAAATTGTCATGATTGCCTCTCACCAAATATTGCCATGTTTTTGTCTCACTAAAGATACAAAAAATAGAACAGCGAAACGAAAACATGTCAAGACAACGTAATGATTATGCAAAATGATCTTACTAAAACTTTGCCCAAGAACAATTTTAGCACACGTCACTGAAAGTTCTATCATGCAAACGCTTATGGCTACATCGATCTGTCTGATTTTTTGTGGAGAGATGGAGAAAAACATAGGGAACAAATACTGAACTTTCAAATATTTTTTACTCTATTATTTTCCGAGTTACAGCCATTCAAAGTTGAATATCTTTTTTTGGGACACCCTGTATAAACCCACGATAATGCTCACTTCTTCTCAAGCACCACACGCTGTTCAGGTGTCCAGTGCAGGACGGCGCCGAAGAGGAGCGCGGGCAGCTGGCTAGCCTGACTTCGGCGCACGCGGTCACCGCCGGGCGACAGCCGACATGCAGCCGGGGCGCCTGCCGCAACGGCGGCAAGTGCCTGCCTCACGCCGCGTCTGGGCCCAGGTGAGGCGTTGCGGCGCCGTGTCATGAGCGGCTGACCGGTGCCTCATTTGCCTGCCTGCCGAGAAGAAGGCTGCCCAGTTCTTCATTTTCAATGACTTATCGTTGGTAGCTACTTTCAAATTGACTATAATTTACAAATGATCGTGGTTCCTTTTATTAGATTAATGTCTGTGAAATTTGGAAGTGAAATTTGGAAGTAAGTCAAATTTTTCCTCAAAATGTCATCATTTCGGGCAGGTGCGCGTGTCCGGGCCACACAGTGGGCCCACACTGCAATCTTCTCACCCGACATTTCAGGCCATCCAGTCCCGCTTCTCGATCCGAATATTCGTCTGTACCCTCATTCATGGCTTTGCCCTCCCTCCCCACTTGTTCACAACTGCACATCACCATCTTCGTGCTGACTCAGCACAAAACTGGCAACATTCTCGGCTCTAAGTCACGAGTCGATCAAAATTCTCGATACTTTAACCTGCTCCTCGATGATGGAAGACCCAAGCTTACCATCAGAAGTAGCGGACCAAAACCTCCGAAAAGTTTGACTCTGCAGAAAAATATCTCTGACAATGTTTGGCATCGACTCGACGTTTTTTGGATTAATGAGGTGCGTGCATAGTTTGATCAATTTTGAATATAAACATATGACTACACCAACAACGCGATTGTAGGTGAATTTTATGAGAAACACTAAATTTTCTACTGGGGAAGCCCGTATTGAATAATCAGTATTAGCTGCTCTTCGTGGCTATCGAATAGTAAATCAAATATTCGTCAAATTGGCCATAGAGTTTCTCAAGTGTCGTAATGTTTTGCATAGTTGATCACCATTGTATAATTTCCAGTTCATCATTATCGACTTTCTTAATAATTACAGTATTCATTATTTCCGTAATATTTCTGTTTCAACTGACATTACAGACGGTGACCGTGATGCTGGATCACTGCCTGGACACAGGTTCAGATCCCTTCGCCTCGACCAGCCAAACAACATCCAGCCTTCCTCTCGACTCCACCCAATGCCGGGGCTCTCTTCCCCTTACCTACAACGAAGGCCCTATTGGTTGGGGAGCCCCTCTCCAGCTTGGGGGACGTTATGAGGACCCCAAATCTTCACACGAGAGAAAATCTCTTAACACTGAGAATGATTTTCACGGCTGCTTGTCGCACGTGCGCGTCAACAAAGAATTCCAGGACCTCGGGTCGCCAGGCGCCATGACCGCGAGCGTGGCTGGCTGTGGCGCCCTCTCCTGCTTCCGGCCCTCGAACGCGTGTCCTCGGCACGCTCGGTACGCTTCGTGTCATCTCAAACAAGTGAAGCTTGTTTATTTGATCTGTTGATTTCTCCTCTTTGATAACTGTTGATTTCTCCTCTTTTACGACAAGTATTCAATATTTTGCTATGTGGCATCCCGAATTGTGCAATATTGAACGTTTTTATATAAACTACCTGCATACGGTATTCATCACTAATATAGGTATATTAGATATTTTTCATCAAATTGTATGTTAAAATCGATAAATCATATATAATCAGCCAATATTAAACATGAAGTTTGATGATAAAACAGTTCTTGATGATTCGATCCGTCACCATACCGCAGATGTCAGGGGTCGCCGGGCGCGGAGCAGTGCGAGTGCGCCCCGGGGCGGGCGGGTGCCGGCTGTCTGGCCGAGTCTCCGGCGCTGTTCTTCCTCAGCAAAAGTCATGTCAACGTCGCTCTCTCCTTCACCCCGCCCGAGTATTGGGCGCAAATTGAGCTTAGGTTTGAAGACAGTTTTCCCTATAAGTTTAGCTCAATTTTGTTTCACCACTCCATGAACTTAGAAACTATGTATAGAAAATTATGAGAAGAAGGAAGGCCTTTATAATTCATGTTTTGATGCAATTTAACATTGTATCCAGTCTATGAGCAATAACAAATGGAGTTAACATTCATACATTATCCAGCGAAACATTTGTCAAAGATTCATGACTCACAATGCATAACTTTAGGTTCCGTACGCGGACGAGCGACGGTACACTTGTGCTTCTGCGGTCACGTCACCGCACCGACTGGCTGAGTGTGGAGCTCCAGGCCGGCAGTGTTTGTCTTGTCGTTGGCTTGGACGGTCGCGTGTACACTTCGCTCTGCGTTGCTAAAACATTCGACGACGGAGAATGGCATCATGTCATCGCGCTCAGGTACAAGGATAATTCTAAATTAATCATTAGAATGCTGATTATAAAAAGTATATTTAAAAAATGGAATCGGCGGTTTGTATTAATAAAACTTGCATTAGGGTCTAATTATCTTACAGAAATGAATAGTTAATAAACTACTGCGTTATGTCAGCAAAAATGTTATTAGTATACATCATTCATGAATTTAAGCAACTGTTTTTCCATTCTAATATTATAGACATAAGAGTTTTCATTGCAGGCACGCAGAGTTGCTGGAGGTTGCCATAGATGAGGCGGAGCAAGACTCGTACGCCAGCGCTCTGCTGCCAGAGCTGCAGAGTTTACCTTTCAGCGTCAGCAGACACGACGGCGCGTGGCTGGGAGGTCTGACTGAGAGTGCGGGTGTGAGGCCAACATCTGCGGATGATGTCTTCAGATCTGTGGATGTGGCCCCGAGATCTGTGGATGTGGCCTTCAGATCTGCGGAGGACGCCTCAAGTTCTAAAGAGACTCTAGAACTTACGCAGAGTTATCCAGATGCTGCTAAAAATTCACGTATATCTTCAGCAAATTTAGTTAATAGCAAAACTGAAGCGTCTACTCAGATGCAGCGCGAGGCTCGTCACACCAACTCCCGGCCGCTTGTCTCCGGGAGATCGGGCAATCCTCGGCTCCCTGGCTTCGAATATTTCATATTTTCCTGCGAGAAACGATCTCAGTCTCACCGCAAGAAGAGGAATATAGTCGAGCTGGATGGCGGCAGCTTGTGGAAGGATTTTAATAATGGTGTAATGAGTGGAAATGTTTGTGTTCAGTCGGTAGAAAACGTTTGGTTGCATGCATTCATGAATGCATTATATCACTGGTGAAATTATTTTAAATACGGTTCATTTTATTAGTCGTGTGATATTGAGCAGTGATGATGAGACATTAGTGGAGATAGAGAATGACTGAAATTCGATTTTACATTATCTAATTTTGTTTTTAGTTTACATGATTAATGATAGTTTACTCAGATTAATTTCATATTGGAAATCAGAAATATATAATATATGAACATTTATAATAAGAGCTCTCATGGTACCAGATACGCTCCTAAAAGTAGCACTATTGAATATCTTTTCAATTGACTATACTTTTTCTGCCAGGCTGCTTGTCTGCTGTACGCGTCTTTGGACATTTGCTGCCCTTGCCTGAAATTGTCAATAATAACCACAGCAGCAACAGCAGGAACAACAGCAACAAGAACACGAGTAATTCAGCTGGCTCAGTAACGTCTTTTGCAAACGTCATCTCAGGATGTACGTCGCCGTCTGTGTGCACCAACACCAGCTGTCCTCCTCCTCTGACCTGCGGCCACAGCTGGGGCCTCAACACCTGCGGGTTTGTAGGGGATTTGAATCTTCATTAGGAAAAAAATTCCTCGATGGTTGATTGGTGTTGCTCCGTAACTTGCTCACTCGAAGCTACAGGTCTTACAGATCAATAGGTTACTCTATAGTAACAATCGAAGTATAATTTCCAGATCATGTTCCACTATTTCATTTGCATACTCTTCATCCTTCTCATTTTTGTCTCTCTCCTTTCTGTACCGAATTCCCTTTCCACTAGAGCAATAATCAACCAACTATGCAGGAATTTTTCTATAGCAAAGATCAAAGTAAAAGCTTCAGATTATGTTCTCTATTTCCCTGTCATTTACATTCCCTCCATACGAAGTTTGTACTTGCTATAGCCAATTACTTACTCACCTGAACAAGAATCATAATGCCGTTCATCAAATATCTTCTCTACCAACGTACGAGCAATCGAATCGATAATCTCACATTTTCTCTATCAGCAACTTTAATTTTTATCTAAAATTGTACGCAATGGCGTTGCAGGTGCGCCGCTGGCGAGGAACTCTCGCGTGACGGCACCGCGTGTTTAGACGTCGACGAATGCCGCTACGACCCTTGCCTCAATCTGGGCGTGTGTGTAAACACTCATCCTGGTGAGTTTATTACTTGCATAATTCAGTCCTTTCACTCATGTCTTGTATGATCGCATCGCGTTATTTGTTGTCCATTTGTTTTGAGTTTGGCCGTATATATCTGCTAGAACCAATGTGCCATGGGTCAACCAGAATTTTGAATTTGTTATATATTTTTACTGCTGAACTAAACTCTGTTAAAATGAAGCGCTCAATCTTTTAATTTGAAACGTTCAAATGCTACTCATATTAGACAATAAAGTGTCATTTCCTGGAATGCTTCAAGATATTGCTGTGATAGATCATGATGATAATCATTTCGTACTGGATATATTTTCTTCGCCTTCGTGTGGTAAAATTTGAATTACATGCTGTCGTGTTAGAATCTAGTGTAATGTTTATGGTGCATTTTCTATGGGTCTTCCAGAGACCAATTTATCCCACAACCGCAAGTGTTCCGGGAGTGATCTGTGATATTAGCGCATCATTTTACACGCGTTCATAAAAGTTTTTCCTTTTCTTTCTTTCATAGGCAATATAATTGAACCCTTTTCCAAATTGGGACATGAAGAAATGAGGAAGGTTGTCCACACAGAAATACAAGAAATTTTGGGAACCGTAGCCAGCCAAATTAAATCACGATAATTTCCAACGGAAATTATCTTGTGAAAGATAAGAATTTTATACAAAGTCCACGCCGGATTCCAAACAATGGGCTTCTGCGGACTAAAATTATGTGCGGTGTAATTTAAATAAGATTCTTGATTCCTTTAACTGATGAACATAAAGCTGTGCTGTGCACTCCCGTATTCTGGAATCATTTGCCGCGGTCAGGGTACCGCTGCGTCTGCGGACCGGCGCACCGCGGAGAGCACTGCGAGTGGGGCGCCGCCGGGGCGCTGGAGGCTCCGTACTCGCTTAGCATTCTGGTGGCTTCAGCTGCCGCCTCAGCAGCTGCACTGTTGCTCAGTAATGTTGCTCGGTTCCGCTATTTTTATTTCCACACTTACTGATGTATGTGTAGTTTATTTCTATGTTTTTTTATTTTAAATCTAATTCATAGTTTCGAAATATCCAAACAGTTTTAGAATTGTTAACGGTGCTTCAACATCTTGGTAAACCATAGATGCACAAGTTATATGAAAAAAATTATTATAGCGTCAAATATTAAGTTGATTTTTGAACTTGTCAACTTTGATTTTTCGGTTTATAACAAATTTCCATTGGCTGCCGTAAATAAATTTGATGCCTAACGACGTATATCATTCCTTTTCAGTTATTGTAAGCTGTGTCCTATGCCTCGTTCTGAAGAAGAAACGGCGAAGGAAATCTGCGCGTTGTTGCAGTGAGAGCGACGCGCGGGACCGCCGAGCGAACGCCAACAAAAGACGCGCGTCGCCAGCTTCGACCAAAGACGGTCTGGCGTCTCTGTCTGAACTCGCGGAACTATCGCCAGGGTCTTGCTCTTTGATTCCTTCTTCTTCTTCCAGCCATCTGCGAACCGATGAGGAATTGTGTTCAGAAGAGCAAACTGCACAAAAAGAGACGTCGATATTAGTCATTGGGAACTGCCCACCTCACATGTCCGTCGTTGGTGAGTTTTTGCCAATTTAAGTGAGCTCACTTAAATTTATAGTTGTATGCAATTCTGTTTGACGAGATTGCTAAATTACATATTCTTCGTGTGACCTTGTCTTTGCCGTGGTGTGAGGGCTTTCTAAATGCGACGACGGTTGAGGTAACATTGATGGGCTGCCGTGACCCCGCGCTGTCATTGGGGGGGATATTTACTCTTATTGATTGGTGTTTACTTGCCTAACAGCAGAGAGACCGTAGTAGTATACGGATCCTCGTCCAGTAGTAGTAGAGGGTTCCTCTTCCAGCTTGAGCCAGCCTGGATAGAGAGAGGGAGACCTACTCCGAAAGGGGCATCTAAAGCCAATCTCTCGCCACTCAGAGAACCCTACCTTTTGTTGATACTCCACTGACGACTGGATCTTTTCTCACGACTTTGCTGACGAGCAATGTTACTTCTTCGATGTCGGCATCAAAGCCGTTTAATTAACCTGCGCCTTGAAACCTCGGGCTCTCACAGAACACAATATACATGAAGGCAAACGCAGTCGATGCCAGAAGAGTATCCTCACTTTTTCCGCATCTCCTCGACAACGGGTTAAAACTTGAGTGCCAGTGACGTTGTTCTAGCTAACCGGCAACCTGATCACTCACTGTGAGTAAGCCGAATAATGAGCACTAGACCCGCGACGGATCACTCACGGTGAAAGTACAAAATAAAACTCAAAGTCAATCAGAAATCGACATAAATTCAAAGGCAGCTTCTTCCGTTACCTTCGAGACACACGGAGCACAGAACGAAATAAAAGAAACGGTCTGCTAAGTTGCTAACGAAATTAGCCCCAGTCGAAAAACTAAAAGAGCATCTCTGTCACTTTATTGGCAAATTAATCTACCAAATGAATAAGTTAATGCATAGGTCATTGGTGGATTTCCCAATATATGTGCTACGTGCAAGCTTCGAACTGAGGTACCGATGCGCAATGACAGTCAATTTCTCGCCCACTCCGCTACCATAAGTGCCAGTGATTCAACGTGGAGCCAAAACGTGGTGTCGAGCAGCCACCGCTAATTACCAGAAGATGATGCACATGAGTTGCCGTGCCACTGCCCGGCTAAATGCCACAATTGTGGTGAACAATGTCGGGCATCCTCACCATTGCACACTCGAACTCGCCTAGATGGCCTAGTGCCCTGGACTGTGATCCACTTATTCTGCGAATGCCGTATGTTCTGACCGCGGCATTTGGGGTTGATGTTCGACGGCAATATTATACTCATCTCCACCGAGTTTATCTCGACACACACAAGTATCCAGGCTACATCAAAACAAGTTGCTAATATTGCCCGTTCAACCTTAACATATGTGCCGATTTTGATTTTTAGCTCGCGATGCGCATCGTGACCTTCAGCGCTAGATATTTGACCTAAAGCGATTGTAATTGGGTCAATTAACGAACCACTCTTATTACACTAAAAGTTACTGCCATCGAACTTTTATTGTTATCTCGCATGTAAGTTTTTACCTTGATAATTTTACCTTACGACAGGTATGGACCTCGTTAATCTACCTCTCCCTACTGGCGGAACCACCGACATGGGAGACCCAGACATACTTCTCCATCCACCGCCCCTGCAGTTCAACCCCAGCAGCACAACCTTCGGGTTTGATGGTGGAGGTCCGAACTCCAGTGCAGGTTCGTTCTATTCGGATACCGGGATAATTTGCTAGGGAAACATGGATAAATACTGCAAAAAATTCTCAATAATTTCTCTTGCAACGTGCAGTAATAGAGATTTTAATTCTTATCTACAGTATCTGCTCGATATTAGTATCAAATTTTAACCGTGCGAAAATGCCATACGTAGTGATGAACGCGGGATTGTAAAATATACAACGAATACTCTAACTATGAAATTATAATTTATTGCATTGAAATTCATAACATATATTCTTCATTTCAGATTCCATTCATTGAAGCGAGTGGAGAAGAATACTGAAAATGTTCGCTCAACACGTACAATGTTTATATCAAATATTATATTTGCTACCAATAAACCCGGCGATTTTCAGTTGCCTTTCTCTGGTTAATATTGAATTTTAAAATCGAATCCCACATGCTGGAGGACATTTGTGACTCCCGCCGGTATAAAATGATCATATTTATCGAATTTTGATAGAGATCAAAGTTAAATTGCTCTAGTTATCGGTCAGCTCAGGTTAAATTCCCTCTCGAATCACGAAATTTATAACAGAAAACTCACTACGGAATCGGTTAAACTAACAAAACCAACGATATTATTTTTTCTACTGCGCAATTGCAGAGTGAATTGATTATTCGACGATAATCTCTCAGACGATCTTATTCACACCCATTTATTAAAGTAGAGTTTGAAATTGTTCATCAACAAACGTGAAGATTGACATTTGGGAAGTATTTCATGAACAAGCCTTTTAATTCTCTTGACATAATTGCGGATGATGGTCGAATACGTTCAAAGTTAATAAAATCTTCTAGATTTTTTAGAACCTTCTAGAATTTTCTAGAACCCTCTAGATTTTTCTCGAATCTTCTAGAAGGCTCGCGTGTGATGAGTGGCGTAGGTACCACCATTCATCCATATTCTACAACTTTCTAGAAGAAGAATTAGATTTTCTAGAACCTTATAGTAGAATCTAGATGGAAACTGGCAAAGGAGCTGGACTCCGAAACGTTTTCTATTAAGATATGATGACCTTTCGTGAATTTTCATTCATTTTCGCTTCCAAATATTGAATTATTTTGCGATCCAAGCAAGCCAATGACCTTAATTTCAGTTCTGTACTTAGAATATCCTCTTAGGTTTACAACGCTTGTTCTTCTAAAATTTAATTAAATAAATTATCTTCAAATTATAAAATTATTTTCACCATCTCATTTACACTAATATTTCCAATAAGTGCATAGATCATTGTCCCACACCACACCAAACACAGTATACTTCATTATCACCTGACATGCCTTGGGCCTCGCCGATTTAACCTACTGTGTAGCAACACCATTCCCACCATTCACTTCACACATGAGTCGGTTACGCCTAGGGCAGCCCCGGACACACTTGAGCTCCTTTCACACAGGACGTGAAATGCCGCACGCGTAAAAAAACAGCGGTATTTCATGTTGAACCTCAGCGGACCTATTTAAACTTCACTGCTATTCACACACGACGGCATTTAACGCAGCGTCAAATTTGACGCATGCTGCCTGCGTATGTTCTTCCAAAACTGCTGCGGCATTTGCCGCACCATTTTAGCATAATGCAATGGTATTCAATGTAATCTTTCACTGTGCGTCTTTTGACACAGCGGTTTTTGACGCATATCCTAGCCTGGTACAGACAACAATTCGTGGAAACTTTCTGCTGACATACCTACGGAAATAATTAAAGAATTTGGTTTTATCTCCTCTTAATTTTTCAAATAATGTGGCAAATTCTCCTGCTCGGGGTCTTAAATGTACTATATGGTGAACCCAGCAAGCCTTCTTTTCCTCCTTTGCTGTCTTGGATGCAGTAAGTACAACAGGAGAGCCTTTTTTTCTTTACATAGAGCAGCCATTTATATTGAGCTTATAAAAAATGAGCACCACTTTTGGAGAACAGCACTGAAAAGCTGATAGATTCAAGCGTAAAAAGCCAACTCTTGTGAATGATTGTGCGGTAAATACCGTTGCGTGTTTTTGACGCATGCGGCATTTGCTGTCTTGTGTAAATGTTAACGCGGCAAATACCGCTGCGTGTTTTTTGGCGCTCGCGGCATTTCACGCCGTGTGTGAAAGGGGCTTTACTTCACTCGTCACACCCTCGTCTCATCTTCCCCACGACGCCCCCACCAGTAATCATACGAACTACACTAGAATTACCAGCCCCCGCCCGACATGGCTGGTCAACAGGCCAGCAAGGCCTGTCAGCTCGGGTTGAAATACACTTTGTGGACAATGTACTATTTTCTGATTTTTTTCATCAAACTATCGTTCGATCCAACGCTGCTCTGTTGAAAAATATATCTTTTACACCTGCACTACTTCACCTGGGCCCATACTTTCAAAAAATGTTAAGAGATCGTAAGTTCATCAGCCAATCATTGACGGCCTTGCAGGCAAAATCCACCAATCAAAGACAAGAAAATAGATCGTAAGTACTTACATTCACTTAGCCAGTTTTGAAAGTATAGCCCCTGGTCTATCAGAACTGCAAATTCTCCCCCCCCCCTCATCCCGCTTTTTTTGGTTAGTGTGCCTAGTTAGGTTGCCCATCCTGAAAGCAGCCAGTCAAGTATGTTAAAACTTGCGTCGTAATTAGGATAAAATTATGATGCAATAGATAAAATAAATGTCCTATCTAGATTGAGGAAAATAAAATCTACCTCGCGTAGAACCTTTCTTTACACGAAACATTA